AGATCCTAAAGCTAAACCTGCTCTGAGGGCTACCAAGCCAGCTAGGCATGTTACTTCTCCCCTGCTTCCTTCTCATCCTGGGACCGAAACCCATTTCTGAATTCTGTATTATACAACCCTTTTTAGATTCATCCCTTACAGGAACCCTTTTAAGCCACAAACCCTGTGATTACCCTACAGGAAACTCCAAAATACCCATGAACCCTCAGCCCTAAACACAAACCCCGTTATTATTCACCCTAATTTGTAAACCCTAAACCCTAGAGACAATGAACCAAAACATCGCTGCTCCAGGCAACGTGATCAGCGCAGAGCTGCATCCGAGCCGGACTCCGCCCCTTGGCTGCCTGGGGATTTCGGGCAATTGCGGGTTTAGGGTTCCTGAAAGGGTTCTTTGAAGGGTTCCTTCCAAGGGCCTACAGACTTAGTAGTTTAGGGTTTCGGGTTTCGGGTTCTGGATTAAAAACTCGATTTTAGGGTCGGCGGTTTAAGGTTTAGTGTTTGGGGTGTTTTATTTTGACATCAGAATTTTCACCTATATCTACATTTACAGATTCCGTATTCCAATGTTACTGTAGCATCCCCGAAACCCCGGTGGCAATTATTAATGTCCCTAACTCAACTCCTGCAGGATTCGGGGCTGTCGTTACTCGGGGCTTTGCATGTTGGGTTTAGGGTTACAGCCCCGAATCCTGCAGGAGTTGAGTTAGGTCTTCATGCTTTGGGAGCTTAGGAGCTACAGTGTGATATAGGTACATGGGGGCGACAGAAGGATTCGGCTACAACCTATTCAGATCTGCTTCTTAGGCACACATGTGTAGATTCCCGCGGCTGCACCATCTACTGCAGCACGCAACTGTCAATTGCACGACTGAAAACCTTGCCAGCTGGAAAGTTCAAGATCAGTACATGCTCGTATAAATGGTTCCGATGGACAAATGTCGAACAAACAAGTTTGATCACTAAGCATGTTTTTTAGTAAGCAAGTAAACAAGTAAGCCAGCAAGGAAGTGAGCAAGCAAGCAAGTACATAAATAACTACGTAACAAATTACATACAGACTTGCATGCATGCATGCATGCACACATACATACATACATACATACATACATACATACATACATACATACATGCATGCATGCACACATAAATACATACATGTGTACATACAGACAGAGACAGACAGACAGACAGACAGACAGACATACATACATACATAGGTACGTACATACATACATGCATACATACACATACACAAACATACATACATACATACATACATACATACATACATACACATACACAAACATACATACATACATACATACATAGTGTAAATCATGCTGAGGATGGCCTTATGATTGAGGACCGATCCCTTTGTAATTTAGGATCCCCTTGGAATGAGGGTGTACTCCTGAACTAGTCCAAGGTGTACTCCTAAATTGGGAGTCTCTGGAAACCTAAACCCGTGCCGGCTTGCAGCCCCAGAGAAGAACTGCATCTATCTGCACTGAATCCAGGCCAGACTATGTAGTAGGCACCAGACCCGGTCACACCCTGTTCAAGGTTTTGCAAACATTTCCGGAAGTTGAGCATCTCGTAGCCGTAGCCAAAGAGAGCTACTTAGAACCTGACGAAATTCCTTCATCAGCCAACTCTTGTGTTTCTAGAAACCATCGCCTGAATGTCCTCTGCTCCTGAATGTGGCACTCAGCCAAAGAAGGCCTGCAGTACTTCGGTATATCTGACATGCTTCAATTCTGGCAGACTGAGACCAGGAACAGCTCTGACCATTGCTGTTGCTTGCCAGAACCACCTTAACCTTGATGATACTTCTGCAATCTGTCTGGGTTGCAGGTGCTTTGGACACCAAGCAACTGCATGACGACCAGGCTCCGTGGGCAAGGGCCTTGCCGGGTGAGCATGCCAGAAGTGACCAAGCTTTTTGTGTCTCTAGAAGTTTTGGCCCGAGTGTAGCAGTTTTGCAGCACTTGTGCAGCCATGGGCGTCAAGAGAGCCAGCCTGGCCAGCTCCATCGATGATCTTGTCGCATCGGCAGAGGCAAAAACAATCCTGGCCCGATGTCAGGACAATGCTGCTCTGGCAATGAAGGTCCTCAAGTACTTGGAGCAGGGGCTTTTCGATGGCCCGACGGAAGCAACTTGCCCTGACTTCACCAGGTGCGTTTCTCTTCCTGCTTGCTCTGCTTCTTTCCCAACTCAGGACTGCCTGGCGGCATATGACGACAAGCTGGTGACGACGGCCCGAGTGGACAGGGCTCCAGACCAATTCGTGAAATATTGTCTGTCGAAGCTGCGGGCCGATTTCAACATAAGCGACTCCACGTCGTTCCCTCGGTCCACAGGGGACCGCAGGCTCGTCTGGATGTTCGCACTGGACCTCAGTGCATCCAGCATTCTTCCTGCTGCTGAGCAGCCGGGCCCGAATGCTGGCCCGAAGAAGAGAGCCCGAACAGACCGAAAGGGCGGAAAGGCTGTCAGACAGTACTCTGCCTTGGCTGCTTGGGCAGTGGAACGGCATACTTCCTTGGGGTCGGTGCTGCAGCACATCGACACCAAGAACTGGTCCGAGTATGTAGCATAGCTGCAAAGACTCTGCATAGGCTTCCAGGATCACAACATCATAGCACCGTGAAAAGTTGAATCCTTGCATCAGGTCGACGAATGCAGACAGTATGATCTCGACCTTGACAAGAAGCAGGTCCGACACATCCGTTCTGGAGAAGTTGCTGCCATTGAAGGTCTGGGCGATGCCAGATGGACCTTGATCAACAACTACTCGACCCAGGACCAACAAGCTTGCTTGTCACCTTGCCAGGACATGTTTTGATGTGCACATGATACATTTGTAGAGTAGAGTCCAAAACCAATGCTGTGTCAGGATGCAGCTCTGGCTGTGGGGGCGAATGGTCAAATTTCTCGAACGGTGACCTGTCATGCTCTTTTCTCAACGAAGCAGCTTGCACAAATGCTGCCCGACTTTAAGTAGGCCCGTGGCCGATTCTTGGACCGATTTGCTTCGAAGCAACCTGCTCATGCATAGCCGCAGGAGTTTGTTTAGCTTTGCATATTCCAGGAGCACATACAAGGTCCAAGAAGTCATGCGGCAGGGCATGAAGATAATGTAGAGGTTTGTAGAAGTCCGGTTCCAGGCTTTTCCAGTTTTGGCTGTTATAAATTTAAATAATTGTGCCGATTGCAGCTCCTTGCCTGGTCCGAGACGTCTCTTGCCGGGACTTTGTCCAATCTGCAACTGAGCAAGGATTGGTACCACATTGTTGCATTCCTGCAAGGAAGAAAAATACTGACTGCTTGCAGTTCTGACGTGCAGGAAAAAACAATGAATTTAGCCAGGATTGCTTCTAAAGTCTTGGAGAACCGAGCCATTGCTATGCACACAGCTACTTTTGTGGCCCAAATCATAGGCACTGGTTTGTGCCTTGCTGTGTCCTCCGACGCAGTCCAGCTCGGGGCGAAGTGGCTTTCCTTCGTCTGTGAAGCTTAGGCAAGCCGAGTGGGTCTACAGAAGAATTGAGTGGACACTGCCAGGTTGCAGTGGTGTAATGCCACGAGAACTTAACACTTCCTGCTGCGATGTGCCTGCCAGGTCCGAGGAGTTTTGCTGGGCCCAGTCTTCCAGCCATGGCACAAGCGAAGAAGTTGCAACGACTTCAAGCACTCCTCCAGACAACGAGCCATAGCACAGTGATGAAGAAACTGAAAGAGATGGTTCCAAAGCCAAGAACTCAATTGATAGAGGTGTTGCCGCATCGGTCAGATGTAATTCTTTTGGCCCTCTCCTGAGAAGCCTGCTCTGCATAGGCTTTCCGTCGAGACACAGGGCCGACTCATCGAGATGATGGACCAGGACCTCTTCAAGGACACGGAGCCGGTGGCCTCCAACACAACCACCCTGGCTTCTGGGATGTCACATGTGTTCGTGTTGCAATCAGTGGCTGGTATTCTTTTCGCACATGTGATTGCTCAACCTAGGCACTTGCAGCAGCACCGCCGGACGAGGAGATCAAGGTGGCCCGATACAAGAAGCTTCCGGACCGATTGATCCACCTCATCCTGAGCCAGCTGATGGATGGCCCGACGTCTGAGGAGACCCTGCAGAAACTTGTTCCAGGCGACAAGCTGCAGCTGCTCATGTATGCGATCGATGCATGCGATGCAGACTTGCTTCCATACTGCGAAACGGGTGAGGGCCGTAACTTCCCTGCACTTAGTTTGGCTTGCAAGACCTGCCTTGAATGACAATGCATCATGGACAAATCAATCCAGGAAAGCGCTCATTGGCCCGGGTGATTGAGTCTGCAAGGGATCGACATGCTGCTTTCGGCCACCCCTTGGCCCGATTCGAAGCGCCGGAGCTCGGGATCCTGGACTGGGACCGAGAGGCAGGATTGAGAGGTAGCTTTCTCCAGGAAGACATCTGTTGCACCCATGGCTTTTTCTATGTCGTGAGGTTGTTGTTTTGCCTGAGTCGTCAGGTTCTTTGTTGTATTGATATTGCCTTTGACACTTAGATGTAAACCTCTGGATCCATGCAGGTGGGCTGGTTCATCCTCGAGGGATCCGATTCTGGGGACCTCGTCGCCAGACACAGGAGGCTGCCACTGACGATTGAGCTGGGTCTCCGGGGCGATTGGCACCTGGTGAAGAACTACTCCACCCTGGATTGCTGTGTCTGCAGGTGGAGTGTTGGGTCCGAGTCTAGAACAAGAGGATGACATGCTCTTTTGTGTTTCCATGTGCTGGGACAGGTGTTGGGTGCACTGGGTGTGTGTGGAAGAAGTTATTGAGTTACTCACTGTTGTTGTGCCCAGGATCGGTCCAGGTCCGAGCCCGCCGAGAGGATCTCCTTGAAAGCCATCTGCTCCAACGAGAACAGGAAGCATCAATGCTGCATTCTGTCGTAGTTCTTCCATGATTCTTGGGGGTATGCAGGAAGCATGTTCTCCTGTTGGTCTTAAGGCAGATGGCAGAAAGCCTGATGCCAGAGGTCCCAGTGCAGACCCGAGACTTCGGGCTAGTGCACCGCAAGAAGAGGCCGGCCATAGAAGACTTGCGCGAGAGCCCGGACGATAATGAGGAGGCACTTTTGTACTGTGACCTCGTTGAGGGCGAACTCAAGCTGAAACCCAGCTTGCTGGGTCTGGACTGCCTGGCCGTGGCTTTCACGGGACCGACTGGGGTAGGGCCCGAGAAGAAGAAAAAGAAGAAGAAGTCCAAGGAGTCCAAGAAGAAAGCAGAGAAAGCCTCATCCGACTGCCTCGACTCTTCAGCTGCTTGACTTGTTAATCTTATCATAGCCTGTCTACCAAGCTTACATGCTGAGTTTCATCGTTTGGCCATGTAGGGTACCCTTAAGTGCAGCGATTGAGTGGCCCTTTTGATAAAAAGGGCCACTTGCATTTCCTGGAACCGATCAGGACAGCGACGGCGCAATGTTTGCCTCAGCGTCTGCAGCAAAGCCAAAGCACAAGCCTCCACATGTACCGGATCATGAGCCTCCACCTGGCCTGACTGATGCACAGATAGAAGAATCTAGCTTGCAGCATCAGGTTCTGACCACTTCTCTTGGTCAATGTCACTGTGTATCTCTCTCTCTGTCTCTCTCTCTCGCTCTCTCTCTGCCAGTTAGTTGGCCCTGCCAGAGTGCTGCCTTCAGTGATCCCAGGCAGACCTCGAAGATATGCTGAAGGAGCTTTTGTTTCCCATGCTCTTGCAGATCTTGTCCCCGAGAAGACACATATGACAGGAGTTGGGCGAAGAGGTCCAGGGATCAGAAGCAGAACCAGATGAGGCCTGGTTCTAGTTTTGCCACAGCGACCCAGCTAATGCCAAAGAAAAATGTTTGTGTTTGAATGGAGCATCCATGTTCCTGTCTTGGTCGTTGTTATAGTGTGGAGGTGTGCCTGGCCAGGGAACAGGGTCCTGATCATTCCGTAGGCATGTTGGCTGAAGCGACCAGATGGCTCGGATGACTGTGCTTATGAAAAAAACGCTGCACTTTCTCTCTGCTTTCTTGGCTATCTGGGTTAGATGGCTTCTTGCTCGCATATAGATATACAGCGATCTAGACTGTTTGAACTTCTTGGCCACTTGGTAGTGATGCTTTGACCTGCGGATGAGTCTTCAGCTGAAGAGGGAGATGACAAGGACTGCATCGCCGGCAGGTACCTTTCGTGCATTGCTCCACTGGCTCAGCAAGCCACTGACGGTCATCGGTCGTTTGCTGAGTCAGTGGAGCCCTGCATGAAAAGCCCTGGCATCCCACAACCCAAGCCAGCCACCAGTTCCAGAAATCATCTGAGATAGATTGGTGGCCTGGCATCAGATGGAAAAGGATGCTGCAAATACAGAACTGGATACAATCGACCTTGCTTGATCTGCTGGAAGAGGAGGATGCACAGGGGCATGCATCAAGTGAGCTATGTGCTTCGGGGGATACAACTGCTGTGGATCCTCAGGTAGACTGATTTCATCTTTTTCTAACACTATCGATGCATTGGGGACTGAAATCACAATGTCGCATAGAAACATGCCTTGGCAGAGCAGTGCTGGCTGAACAGATAGCCTGCCTGCGGGTCCGCCCCTTCTGCATGCAGCAAGGCTACACAAAAGACCTTCCCTACTAAGCCATGGTAGCAGGTTTGCTGTATCGGCCCCCCAGCTTCTGTTGGGGGACTGCTTCCATGGACAGGTGTAAGATGATTTATCGCTCACACCTGCCTGTCAAGGGGAGGCACAGTGTTGTGTCCTTCAGTGTTGCCTGCTGTGTTGCAGTCCTTTGTGGTTGGACTGGTCCTGTGTCGCCCTTTCGTCATGCTTGGCTATAGTTGGCTTTGTTCTGTACTGCACTTGATTCTTGAACCTTGGCCCTTGACTTGCTCAAGTCCTGCTCTTTGTCTTGTGCGGGCGCTTTTCGTTTGTTCTTCGTTTCAGTTTTGGCTCTACCAAGAGGCAAGCCTGCAAGGCAACCGAAAAAAAAACATCGGGCTTGCCTTCAAACCGTTGGCCGGGTTTGGAGCTCACACTCTTGGAACCATGTTGTGTCTGACAGAGCTTTTGGCCAACATGCTCCAGCCTTGGGAAGCAGACGACAGCAGGGCAATGTGCCAATGTGCCTGCTGGGCTCTGGGAAGGACACCATGGAGTACAGGGAGTGGATGTGGCGGTGGGGCGAGACCCGCATCTGTCCATATTACATGGGAGGCCTCTTGTGATCGATTGACTCGCTTGACTCGCTTGACTGTTTCCTTTCTTCGTGCCTTGACCGGTCCTGTGTCGCCTTTTTGTCAGTTATTGCCGCCGGATACCGCCTCTGGGTTCCTGTGTGAATGTTTTTGTGACAGACTGTGTTTAACATGAGTAAGAATATGTGCATGGCACATTGTGGCATGAGATTGGGTTGCCCTTGCTGCATGTCGTTGTGTGCATCATGATGATGTGCTTGCCATATGCTGACCCAGAGGATATACAGTCTCGGCCGCTCGGTCGGCACAAGGGGTTGTTGTCCTTGGAGCACTCTTCATATCTTGGCCTTGGGCCTGCCGTTTGGGTTCATCCTCTTTTCACTCTGTTCTGTCATGGATAACCTTCTTGATGCCTTGGCCTTGGGCTCTGCATCTGGACCTTGGGCATGGCGTTTGGCATGAGATTGCAATGTGTTCCCGTTGCCGCTTGTCTTGTGTTGTGGCATGACTTGCTGATTGCCATGTCAATGCGAGCCAGCGGAACCTATGCTTACCCACTCCGAGGGGGGTGTGGAAAATTTCACATGCAGGGTTGGCCGCCTGCAGGCGTGGTTCCATTCCCGCAGTGTTAAGGCCACGCCGACGTGGCCGATGATGGTTTTAACGATCTAGGCCCGGAGGTATGACAGTGGGGCACATGTGCCTATCTGTCTTGGAAGCCCATCCAATGGCTCTGATCGCATTGGTGACATGGGACCCCATCTTATGAAGAGACCAGAGTGCTTCCGCAACATGCTGTGGCAGTATGGTAAAAAAATTGAATCACGTGTCTTGAAACATGTGATAATTCATCAGCAATAGAACTAGCCAGCCAACAAACCAGCGTGCTCTCAGAGACCTTGTGCAGCAGGTTGTGCCGCATCTTTGAAGACCCCCATGTCTTGCAACACGGATATAAGAAGCAATAACATGGGGTCTTGTTGTCTTAAGCTTTAGACTTTAGACTTTAGCCTTAAGCCTTAAGCCTTAAGCTGGCAGATGTATACGGGGGTGTGATGCTTGGCCATGGGTGTGTGTGTGACACATTGAAATGCACTGTGATGATTTGTCTGGTAAGCATGGTTCGACAGAAATGGGCCAGGGGCAGGGCACAGTCCTGCATTTGTCGAGCTGCCGGCCAGGCTGCAGAGGTGGAGGAACAGAAGCAGCATGAGGAGACAGAGCCGACACAGGTGACATGGCACTTTGGTTTTTCATAGTGAAGTCCAGAACAGCAAGTGCATGGTTGGCCAGGCTGCAGATGTGAAGAAGGAGGACGACGAGCACCAGGGGCCCGACTTGCTGCAGGCAAAGTGTGTGTTGGCTTGCGTCCATCTGACAGCTACTAGTTGCTAGCGGCAGGTAGGAACTAGTATCGGTAGCATTGTCATGCAAGACCGTATGCCTGCTTCTGCACCATCAGCCAAGCAGAGGAGGCAGAGGAGAAGGAGATGAAGCATGAGGAGAACCAGCACCAGGACGTGGCATGGCTCTGAAATTCACTGCAGTGCACTCCAGCACACGAATTGCTTGCTTATGTGGTCTGGGAACTCTGCTGCTGTCCGACAGGATGCAGACGACTCAGAGGACGAGGTGCCTGTGCAGTAGAATCACTAGAATTCAGTAGAAGAAGCATGGTGTGTTTCTTAGAATTTCACAGACCAGCACTGTCTTGGCCATGTGAAGAGCGAGAGAGAGAGAGAGAGAGAGAGAGAGAGAGAGAGAGAGAGAGAGAGAGAGAGAGAGAGAGAGAGAGAGAGAGAGAGAGAGAGAGAGAGAGTGCGAGAGAGAGAGAGAGAGAGAGAGAGAGAGAGAGAGAGAGAGAGAGAGAGAGAGAGAGAGAGAGAGAGAGAGAGAGAGAGAGAGAGAGAGAGAGAGAGAGAGAGAGAGCGAGACAAAGCAGCAGCAGATCCAACAGCCACTATGTTTTCAAGTGCAAGTGCAAAATGTAAAGTCCCACATGATAGGAGAAATGTGACTGTGCTGGTGCTTGCCGCCCTCGATTTGGAAACCAGCATGGAATGTCCTGATTTGTGTCCATGGCTGCTTGTCCATGCTGTCCTGGAGGAATCCGCAAGCCTGGAGGAGGAAGATGGTGGGGCAGGGTTCTAAGTATTTTCGTACTTGGTATCAAAGAATCAGGCGCCCATGTCAGCTGACTCTGCAGTGCATGAGGATCATGCAACACACAATGCAGACAAAGACGAGGCACCTTCTGTTTGCCGCCACAAGGTGCCAACAACATAGACCCATTTGTTACATGCAGCATGTAGCAGACAGGAGCCATGTGGCATGTGACTGGGACTGCTGTACATTCTGGCTTCCAGCATAGTCAGACGCAGTCCGGGACCGACAAGCACAAACCCCATGCAGACAAGGAACTTGCAGAATCATTCAGGGTTCAAGTTCGAGGCATCTATTAGTGAAGCCCCTGTCCTGTCAGTCTGCATCAGCAGCGAGAAACCAAAAAACAAATTTCATAACAAAACTTGGATTGGATTGGCAAAAGCATGTTTGCAACTGAGCAGCAACCGTGCCTTGCTGAAGTGTCCATGCAATATGACAAAAGAAGCTTTGTTGTCTTGTTTCCGCAGACAACAGTTCGTTTCAAAAGTCTGGGTGTTCTACTAGAATGCCAGAATGCCCAGCTGGAGATGTTCTGGATAAAACAAAAGCTTGCCTCTCTAAAGACACTCCAGGTCATCCATCATCCAGGGGCCGCAAACCCGAAGTCGTGATTGACTGAGCAGGTGCAGCAAACATGGTGTTTTGCAACTGCTCCTGCGGGCACACGCGGGTCCGATGCAAAGTGCATGGTAGGCCTGCTCAGCCCTCCAGATGGCCCGATTTCGCTGGGAGACAGATTCAGAGAAGGTCTTGTTGTCCGAGCTGAGCCCTTAGTTCTAGACCTTTCCTAATCGCAGCAGTGTTGTGTATGCTCCAGGACTAGAGGGCC